TTTATAAAATGTATTGCATATTTATGAATATTATCTATATATTACTTTGTGCAGACAACAGCAGATATTTTAACTCCATTTGAAGCTGAGAAAATGGAGATTGGAGAGGTTGTGATCTAAGATCACATAAGAAATAGCAGGGCCAGAAATTCACCTCACTGCTTCCTCTAAATCACATGTTCTTTATCTATTCAAATATCACAAATTTGGTCCATGGATAAAGCTAAGATGTGAACTCGGGCATTGAAATACAGTACTCATTCAATATTTACTTACCAAATTTTTAATGAGTACTTGTGATAAAAAAAAATACGGTGAATGTTTAAATTAAAATAAATATTACAGCAAAAGACACATTGCCATTAACTCCCCCTCAAAATATTCCCCCTCGCTTCAAACACACTTACCCCATCATTTTTGCCACTTTCTGAAAGCAGTTCTGGAAGTTCTCTTTGGTGCGTGTCTTTAGTTGTGCTGTCATAGCTACCTCGATGTCCTGAATCGATTCAAAACATTTATCTTTCATGGTCATTTTGACTTTGGGGAAGAGCCAGAAGTCGCACGATACCAGATCCAGTGAATAGGGTGGAAGAGGACACACCATAATGTTTATATTTGACAGAAAGTGCCATATCAGAAGTGACGTGTGACATGGAGCAGTTGTCATGATGGAGGATGAAGTAAAGACACTCAAGAAAGAGGACTTCCAGAGCTGCTTCAGAAAGGGGCAAGAATGATGGAATAAGTGTGTTCGAAGCAAGGGGGAGTAATTTGAGGGGGATTAATGGCAATATGTCTTACTGTAATAATTTTTTTTATTTAAATGTCCACTGTATCTTTTGATCACATCTCATAGACACTGAGTGTTGGTGTTCTTATAATGAAGAAGACCAACTTCCTGCTTAGTCTTTATAATGCAGAGTGGGACACATAGTACTAAATGTACATTATAATCCAGTGCCAAAGCAACCGACGCAGGACAGGATGATATTGCAGAGGAAAAAACCAACATCCATCCTAAGCTTGGGGGAAGTGAAAAGAGCTGGTGATGTTTAAGCTGAGAGCTGAAGACTATTAGGAGCTAGACAGAGGAAGAGAGAGGAAAGGGGGGATTCAGAACAAATACCCCAAGCTAAAAGAAAGCACAGCATCTTAGGAAAACAGGACAATTCAGCAATGAGCAGTAGAGAGCGTGTGAATGAGAGTGGGTTTGCTGAGAAGCTGTAAGTGACATCTTACAAAGTGTAGACTTCAAATTGAGTTTTTTGAATAGCCACTGATGATGTTAAAATAGGGTTGACAAATGATTGGATTTGAATTTTAGAAATAGCATTCTGAATTCAGGTTAAACATGGCAAATTGAACACATATGTTTATCTCCATTTGCTCCTAAATTTCCAGTAACATGACAACAGATGAATTTTAAAAGTTTAAAAACCCAAAAGATCAAATAGACTAAGAAAGGAGACAATGGGAAATGAGAAATAGCTACAAATATTTTGAAGATGGAAAGCATACAAAGATTGGTAACTGACATAACACAGATGAAAATGCCGATATCCAGGCACTCAGATACTGGAGATAAAGATTCCCTTGAAGGCAATGGTAGAGTTCTAAGGTAGACTCTGAACTGTAAAATGAATTTATCGTCACTTTGAAGTTCAATTACTTGATGGGATCCTCTCTGCTATCCTGTACAACAGGTTACTACCCAAACACATGCCTATAGAATACATAAGGTCTATTATCAGGAGAAGTTACACTGGAGAGGATACCAAGCATGGTGTAATGAAGGACGAACTGCCATCTTGAAAAGAGGGATAGTGGGTGAACAACTGCATGCTGAACATTGAATCTTCCATGCTCTCTAACTAGCAATCAGGCTTATATCTCTCAGAAAGGAGGCTGGAAAATTATTTTCTGGAAAACTTGAGCAGCCAAAGAGAAAAGCTCTACAGATATTGACATGAGAAGAGCAATAAGATAGCTGGGTCGCCCATCCCATTATTCTATAGTGCAACCCATCTGTCAATGATCCCAAGCCATTTAATGAATGTGTCTCACTCCTGAATCAATGAAGTATCATTAGACATTTAATATAGCCCCCAGTATGTAAGCTAAAGACATAATAAAGAGGAAAACATTTTTTAAAGACAACGTTAGAAAGCAGGGGAAAAATTTTTAAAGAGAGAATAATCAATTGTTCAGGTAAATATGAGAAAACACCTTTTTCATTTAAAAGAAAATGGTGCTTTTAGAACAAAGAATAAAGAAATGTTCTTAGAGATTAAAAACTATGACTGCAAGAAATAATCAACAAGAAATCTTTCAGAAAGAAGAAACCTCCTGAACAAAAATGAAAAATAACGTGTGATAAATTGGATTATTTTTCAGAAAATACTTTTTTCCTTTCCCCCACAGAGTGGAGGATATGTTCTCACTCCAGTGATGTTGGGTTAGAAATACAAGGCCAAAAGAATGTGTGCAGAAATGACAGCGTGCTGTTTCCAAACCCAAGTCTTAAGAGGCACACAAGTTTCGATTTGCTTTCTTGAACATCTGCCATTTGAGAAGCTCCTGGTCCAAGGAAGGTGTGAAATACATAGAGCAGATAACTCCGATCTGCCAAGTCCACCCAAACCTTGCTGAGCTCCAGTCAACTACAGGCTGGTGAGCAAGAAAATAAATGCTTGTTTTTGTGTAACACTGAGCTCCTGAGAAGTTTGCTGTGTAGTATTATTATTGTAGTAATAACTGACTCATATAACACAAAAATACATAAAAGTTAACACAAAAAGAGACACAATCTAAAATTGTAAACAACCAGATAATAGGTTTCACAAAGAGAGAACCAGGAAAATTAAAGGGGAGCATATAGAAAATAAATAACATAAGAAAAATGACCAGAACTGAGTGATATAAATTTCCATATTAAAAGAGCCCAATGAATACAAAAAGATCCACACTAAGGCAGATCTTATGAAATTTCAGAATATCAGGGATAAAGAGGAGGATAAAAACTTCCTGACAAAATAAACAGATTACATATGAAAACACGTCAATCATAATGACATTGGACTTAATACAGCAGTGCCGAAAGCAAGAACTCAATAAATAAATGCTTTTGAAATTAAAATTGAAAGGGTAAAAATTCTAATCTAGCATTATATAACTATTCAAACATTAAACCAAATGCGAGGGTAGAGTCATAGTATTTTCAGACAGGTAAGGACTCAAAAATATTTACTTTAAAAGCCGTTTTCTCAGGAAGTTATTAAAGATTATGTTTCAGTAAGATGAGGTAGACATGAGATCCAAGAAGTCAGAGCTCCAACATATTAGAGAAGTGAAGGAAAAATCCAGAATTATGGCAAAGAGAAGTTCCAGGACAACGGCTGTGCAGCCAGCCTGAGACCTTTCAGTCCAAATTACAGAAAGACAATGGAAGGCTTTAGGAGGAATATCTTCATAAGAAATAGTGGCGCTAATAATTTACCGGATATACTTGACTATCCAATGAGAGATTTTACAGGTATTTTTGAGAATTCGAAGAAGACTTCAGAATAAGGACATAAAACAGAAAAGTGAAATGAGACATTACTATTCACAGGGAAAAACAAGATCCCTTTGAAGGACTGAGGTTCTTATCGAGTACATTTCCATGCACGTGTTGTTTAACTTCATATTTGAATTATGCATATCGCATGCCTCCGTTTGGATTTCTTCAGAAGCTGACTCAAAGATAATGTTTCATCTAGTTTATTTGGGAAGTAAAGGAAACACTGGTAGAGGAAAGGGGAGGTGACAGGAAAGAAATATGGGAACTACTGAATTTTAACTCTCAACCCTTGCAAACGAAAGTTTGGTTTGCTAACAGCATTCACATCACCTGGGGAATTACTTGAAATTCAGAATCTCAGGCCCCACCCCAGATACCAGAATCAGAATCTGCGATTTTACAAGATTCTAATCTAGATGATTCATATGAAGGTGTAAATTTGAGCAGCAAGCACTGATCCAAACCACGGTGCTCTTAGCATCAGCAACGCCTACTTGTTTGAAATGCAAATTATCTGGGTCCGCCCATCTACTGAATCAGAACGCCTGTAGGGGTGGGTTTAGTAATCTGTGTTAACAGACCCCTTAAAACTCAAGATTGAGAATCAATGAGTCCAAGCCATTATTCTGCCTTTAGTAGTCACCATTTTAATTTTAAATCATTCCCCACACATGATTTTTTAGCACAACAGTTCTCTTTCTAATGTCAGTGGTAACCTAGGCAGGTTAGAGAAGGAACCCACAAAAATCCACTGTCATGTGTGTGTCTCTGGAACAATATGCTACATTAATGGCGATGACTGGAGGATTCCCTCTTCCCCCAAGCTGGAGGCATATTGGAAAGGCTCTCTAGTTGGGTGAACATAAAAGCCATATGCTGGTTGGCCATAAAACTTCTTTAGAGAGACATCCGTGAGTTTTCCACAGCTATTCTTAACATAAAGATTTTACTCCCACCTTGACTTCTAAATTTTAAAACGCCTCCGACGCTCTGGAAAACATTTTTCAGTGATTGACAGAGGGAGGCTAGCCAGGTAAGCAGGCGCTTTGGTTTATTTAAAGGAACTGCCAGCAGATATTAGCTCCAGGTGTTTCTAAACATTAAGGGGGAGGGCGTGCCCTGCTTTTATAAACACACAGCAAGCCAGGCAAGGCTTTCTTCTTTAAAAATAAAAGCCCTCAGTACTACCTCAATCAATTCCTAGGATTTATCTCCGAGCCTCTGCCAGCTGAAGGTTTAAAAAGGCGTTGGTGTTTGTTAGAAAAGTAAGACTAGATTGTATTAGACTCTTTGTCTTCTTCAGACTCACGCCTTCATTTAAACACTAAAGCGTTGTCAGTCCTTTAATCAAGTTCAGAGTCGTTTTGCGGTTCCTTTTCACCTCTTCCAGAGTGGGCTCCAGAGAGAAACCTAAGGCGACGACCTGCAGGTGTTAACTGAGGGCAGAGCCCGAGCAGGAGGCTCGCTCGCAGGCCAGGGCCGGCCCTGCGCGCTCGGACCGGGGCTGCTGAGCCGGCTCTGCAGTCGCAGCCCCGCTTCAGGCTGACCTCGGACCTCCCGGGCTCCCCAGGGCCCTTGGCCTGCTCCCGGTCGGCTTGGGAATTCCCTGCTCCGCGGGGACCGCTAGGGGGAGCCCGGGCTCCGCGCCGCCCACCCGGGAGGCGACGCCCCTCGGGAGGAAGTGCCCGGAGCTGTGGCGGGGCCTGCCGGGAGCGCGCGCGGCGGGGCCGCGGCCTCGGCGCCCGCCACCTCCCCCGCCAGGCGGTCCCCGGCCGTTTCCCCGCCCCGCGCGGGCCGCGAGCGGCGACGGGTTCCGGGTCCTGTGACCCCATCAGGCGGTGTCCCGGGGAACCCGGCGCGGGGCCGGAGCTCGTCGGAGGGGACCCGGGCCGGGGGGCGGCCGCCGTGCCCGAGATCCGCGAACACCTTTTCAAGGTGCTGGTCATCGGCGAGCTCGGCGTGGGCAAGACGAGCATCATCAAGCGCTACGTGCACCAGCTCTTCTCCCAGCACTACCGGGCCACCATCGGGGTGGACTTTGCCCTCAAGGTCCTCAACTGGGACAGCGGGACGCTGGTGCGCCTGCAGCTGTGGGACATCGCGGGTAAGAGGGTGGCCCGGCCGCGTGCACGTGCGGACCCTCCGGCGGGCCGGGGAGGGGCGTCCCCCAAGTTTCTGAACCCTCGGGTGCTAGGGACCCCTCGCTTCCTCGCCGTCTCCCCCTTGCTCTGCCCTCAGCCGGGGCTCGCCTGTGTACGTTTAGAAGCCAGAGGCTGAAAGGGACGTAGTCGGGTGGACGGACTCCCGTGGGATCAGGACAGTGGAACGGGCGGCAGTAGTTGACGAAGTTAAAAGCAGGACAAGATAAAGAAATAACCCTGCTTAGATGCCTCCGCCAAGTCTTCGGAAAGCCCCCTTATTTTTAAGAGACGGAAAGGAGGCCCACTGCCCCCAGCGCTGTCGCACCTAAACCAGAGGTGACAAAGCCGTTGGGGCCTTCCCAGAAGTTTTAACTCCGCATGTTGACAAGCTTAGAACACACCAGAAAGACTCCCGGGAGAGGGCCCGCTCCTCTCATTCAGCCTGAACATTTCACAGGTGAGAACCGAAGTTCAGGCTGGTTGGATGACTTACCCAAAGGGACACCTGTAGTTAGTGACATAACCAAGACCAGAAACCAGGTTCCTTTTTGGAACGTTGTCATCACCCACGTGAGACCCGAGGCCCTTCCCGATGAATGAAGCCCCCGTTCTTCATACACCGCGCGCGCATTCCTAGGTCAGGCCGCCCACGTGAAGGTTTGGAAAAGCTCTTGAAACGTTAGGCTGTTTCCTTCCTCCCTACGCCGCCGGCGCCTAGCCCCACTCCTGCCTCCTCTACCCCACCCCTATGTGGTGTTTTCCTAGCATTTGCTTTCAGTTTTCATTTGGGAGCATAATACCCCCCTTTGAGGGGGTACCTATTGTCCTTGTGCTAACTTATGAAAACTTGAACTCTGGCTGGTGTGGCGGGTGGAATGGGGTATTTTTAAAAAGATGTTAACTTTTGGAAAGTTTAAATATGGAAGTGGCACCAAAAGTTACCCTGTTCAGTCATCATCGGTGATAAGAAGCCCAGTCTGCAATAGAACAGGGTGGGAGAGATCACCCTCCATCCTACAGATGCATAAACCAAAGCCCTAGAAGACGTGGTCACCCGGCTGGTAGCAGAGTGGGGTGGGGACTCAGGTCTGTGCTAGGTACTGCTCTTTCATCCACAGCTTATTACATGGGGGAAAGTACTTAACAATTATAACCTATATTTATCATTTATTTAAGAACAGACTGACTTCTGTAACTCAGATATGAGAAGAAATTTATGTGTATCCGTCCCTCAAGAGAAAGTGGGATAGTCAGCCTTGGGGTCAGCTTTTTTGTTTTTTGGTTACAGAAAACCAAAAGTTCGTTTGAAAAGTCATCTTTTGAAGCCAGCGGCTTCTTTCGAAACACTTCCTGATATTTCACCGAACGCTTATGAACAGTAGTTTTGCTTCTTGTCAAACTCATGGACTCGAAAGTTTGCCTTCCCATGTGATAATCATTATTCAGGAATCTTCAGTGTAGATGTGGCTATCCTTGAAGATAATTTTAAGCCCCACCTAGGAGGGTTGTTGACGTTGCCTTAGTCTTCGTGTAAAATGTGCTGTTTAGCTATTAAATTATGATTGGGTCCTACTGCGGGTAAATACAAGATTTTTATGGCACAGTTGTGTTTTTAAGCTTCAAGGGAAAATACTGATAATTGGAGATTTGGGAAAGCAAGAGCATGAGTAAGAGTTTCCTTCCCGGGCATCACCTTGAATCGATCTATACAGCCTGGGAGGGGACTTGGTTAATCTGCATCGGACTCCGGTACATATCTGCTCACATGGAACATCCTTGTACTTTCGCCTAAGTCCAAAGCTTGAGCTTTGCCAGCAAGGAAAGCAGACTTTTAAGATCTCCAGAAGGGACTCCTAGACCTTAGATACCGTTTAGCACATACACAGCAGCAGTTAACAAGATTAGAGGTAAACATGGGAGGTAATTGGAAATTATTAGGCTCATCTTATGTTTTCAGAGATGGAATCTTAATATATAAGGAAACTGAGACAAAAATAACCTGGCTTTGACTGAAGGTTTAGAGAACTACATTCTTTTTTTTTTAATTTTTTTATTTTTTATTGTTAGTTTCAGGTATACAGAACAATGCAATAGTTATCCTTTTCACCCTTCACACAGAAACAACCACCCTCCTCCATCTCCTGCCCTCCCACCCCCAATATCATGCTTATCACAATTCCATTGACTCCATTCCCACACTCTACTCCATGTCCCGTGACTATATGTATATATAATTATAGTTGACATACAATGTTATTCAACATCAGCTTCAGAAATACAGTGTTTCTGGTCAGGCCTCTACACCGACTATGAAGTGGTCTCCCTAACAAGACATGAGTCCATCTGGCCCCCTAAAAAATATTTACAACATTATTGATTATATTCCCCAGACTGTATTTTCTATCCCTGAGGCCAGATTGTAGTTACCAATTTGTATTGTCCCATCCCTTCCCCTTCTTCATCCCCACCCGCTCCCAACTAGCAATCCTCAGTTTTTCCTCTGTGTCTCTGAGACTATTTCTGTTTATGTTTGTCATTTATTCAGTTTTTTAGAATTCACGTATAAGTGAGATCATATGGTATTTGTCTTTCTCTGACTGACTGATTTCACTTAGCATAATGTTCTCTAGTTCCATCCATATTGTTGCAAATAGTACTATTTCCTTCTTCTTTATAGCTGAGTAATACTCCATTGTGTAAATGTACCATAGTTTCTTAATCCAGTCGTCTACCGATGGGCATTTCGGTTGTTTCCAAGTCTTAGCTGTTGTGAACAGTGCTGCAATGAATAGTGCATATATTTTTTTGGATTAATGTCTTGGGTTTTTCTTAACTATGTTTGTTTTGAGTATTTGAGCTACTAGTGAACCCTAGCTCATACCCTTTGAATTAAGCAGTAATGATGTAATGAAAGCAAACTGGAGACCATCCCAAAAAGTTCCCCGTGGCTAAACATATTTGCCTTCTGTAGTAACAAAGCTGAATCATACTTCATTCTCAAAGGATAGAAATTTTTCTTGATTGCAAAAGATTAGATAGAGCTGGCCACTTGAGACGACTGACTTAAGCTATCATGTTATTATTACTGGTTAGTTTTCCTGTTCCTTTAGAGATGGGAAAGAAATTGTTGTCTCTATACTTGAAAGCTTTGGCAAGTATGACAGGCAGGAGGGGTCCAAATGTTTTCTGTAAAAAATGTGGCCAATCATGTAAGCTAAACTCTTCAAATTAAGAACCATAGTGACTCTTGGGTATAGGCTTTACGAATACATTCTCATTGTAACTAATTAGTGTAGCTTTAAAATACAGATGCAGTTTAGTAAAATTTTTGTGTTAGGCAATTGCTGTCTCCTAATTCATACCTTTTTGAGACTGCTGCTCAACACATACTGAAATATACTAAAAATTGAAATCTTTGGTAAGATTTTAAAGCGAGTTTAATGAAAGTATACTAAATTAAGATGTAGCAAGAGATGTCTGATCTTCCCTTTAATATGTATTATAGATGAAGTGGTATTTGGCTTGCTGCTTACTATAAGCTTATTGACAACTATAGAATTTTCTAGGGAGGTTGAATGGCTAGTTTAGGCTTAATCTTAAAAACAAATGTTTGTCCATTTATATATAATATAATTTGGTCTTCATGTATTCATTGAAGTGATTTGCTTTTGTTGGGGAGGCAAAATTTTATCTCTCTCCTCTTAGAGTTTTCTGTTGGACCTGAGAATTAAATTGATGTAAAACATCAATTTACAGCAGAGATTTACTTAATATAAGTTTTACATGACACAAAAGCCCTCATAAGGAAATGAAGACCCAAGTGGCAAAACCTAAATGCTTTTATACTTGGTTGAACAAAAAGAGGTCTTTAGTTTAAAATAATCCTTATGCCAAGTGGCATTTTTTGGGATGGCTTGTTCTGCTACTCTTCACTTTTTAGGATCAACATTTCTTTATAAAAATCTGAGTAACACTCCTTGGGGCCATAAAACAAATCAGAAACAACCTACTCTGAAATTCATGTAAGTATTATTTACCAAAGCATAAAATGCGGGCTTGGAAGACATCAATTATATAAACCACACCACGTTCACTTTTTTTCTTTTGCTTCCTATCCTAAATTAGAAGGTTGATCCTGTTCCATCTTGCATATTGCCAATTACTATACCCAGTGGCTGCTTTTTGCTGTCTTTTATAACTCTTCTCTAACCCTTTATGAGGAAGAATCTGCAATATTGCTCCGATGCTTTCTTGACTTTCAAAGTATATCAGTCTGGGATTCTTAATATTCAAGTGTCTTCGAAAGAGGAAGAAGTAGTGCTTCTGGTTAAGGAATTAGTCTATGTAGTTATGTGTAGTCTCTGCCTTAAACAGCGACTACTACAGTAACTTTCGTAGGGCCTATTGGTGGCCAATTACTTAATACCTCATTTATAGGAATTTTAAAAATCTTTATTACGTATGACTCTTGGACAGTCTTGCCACTCTCAGTCTTACTCAGGCTCCTTTGCTTTGCTGAATGACAAGCAAAGCCTACTGTCCCATTTTACGTCTTTCAATCTTCCTTGATTCATAGCCCTGAGACACCTTTGGGGCCCCAGCCTGGAATGTACATTCACAACTGGCCAGGCAGGATGGTCAGCATAACAGCGTATTTGTGTTACCACACATGGAAATCCTGTGATAATGATAAAAAGTACTAAAGTTAGACTTTGCTCCCAACCATTTGCCTAATCATTCTACCAGCTGAACTGAATTAAAAACCCTTAGAGATCCCATCATCTAAATACAGTGAGGTACAGTAACTTGACCAAGAAAACAGGTACTGTACAGAGACAGGTCTCATGACTCTGAGATATGAAAACAATAAGCTTTGACTAGTATAGTGGAGTTTTGGTTCACTGGTGTCAAAACAGTAGTATAAATCCTCATCTAAATTTGCAAATGTTTTGATCATCCCTAT